ATTCAGGCCCTCATCACCTCTTGCTTAGAGTATATATTAGAGATGTTGTGAAGGTAGAAATGACAAGATTTGGCAATGGAGTGGTTATATGGAATGAGTGCCAGTGACCTGGGTGAAGATCAAGGCAAAGGAGCCTGAGAAGGAGCAGTTAGCACCCTACAAACTACATTATACTGCCTCTCTTCTCCTATAAATCATTAAAAAGGATCATTGCTAACTTTGGGAAATAGCAGTCTCAGTTGAATGATAACGGCAGAAGCCAGATAGTAGAAAATTTGGAAGATGAGAGTAGAGAGGCATGCAGGAAGTCTTTCTCAAGGAGTTTAATGGAGGAGGATGACGGATATAGAATAATACTCAGTGAGAATGTTGGATCAAAAGAGGGGGTTTATAAAGTATAGGGGAGACTTGGCTGTGTTTGCAGGTGGTAGGGAAGGACCCACTAGATATGGAGACTCAGGATCAGAAAGAGAAAGAAAGCAGGAATGACAGAAAAGGCAACCAGCTAGAGAGGACCAGAGGGGAGTGGATCAAGGACACATTTGTAGGGTTCATCTTGATAAAGAGTATGACCACCTATTCATCCAAGACACAAGTGAAGGATGAGATAATGGAATAATATGTTTGAGTAATATGAGAGGAGAAGAGATTAAAATCACATTATCTCACATAGTCTAGAAAGACATGGATTCAGATCCTTCCCCTGATAGCTACCTGACCAAAGGCCAGTCATTTAACTTCTTAATGCTCCAGGTGACTCCCCAAGACTAAGTTCCATATTAGCTGCTGATGGATAGAAGAAGTTTTCACACCAGAAGCTCCCTGCACTAGTGAAATCATAGGTCCAGTCCTTAAAAAGAAAATGAATTAAACAATATAGAAACTTCTTTTTAAAATACCTCATTTTTTTTCCAGTGTAGTCTGAAGCAAGATCCTTAACTGGGGGTGGGGATGAGAAATCCCACTAAAATATGTGTCTGTGTATACGTATGTGGGCATGTGTTTATACAAACGTGTGCATATATGTATAACTACATATATACATTTTTGTTATGTATGTACATGTGTTTGTAGATCTAGATAGCCTACAAAGATGTTACTAAAAGGTAGAAAGAAGACCTACTGGTATAAAAATATTCATAGCACTTTTATCTGTAATAACAACAAGCAACCTCTATGTTCAACAATTAGGAAATGGCCACATAAATGTTGATATAATCAATGTAATACAATTGTGCCATAAAAATATGAAGAATACAAAGAAAAATTAATATTTCAGGGTAGGAAGAGTGAGGAAGCCAGCTTAGACAGGTTTCCATTTCACTGTGAGCGTTTATACCTCAGAAATCAAAAACGGCTACAAATCAGAGTTTGATTTATTGTTTCATTGACTGTCCACTTTTAAAAAAGTGTTAATAATTCAGACCAAACTTAAAAGTATAGGTGGCTAGATAGCTCAACTGATAAACATTTACCAGCACACCCCACAATTTCTCTATAAACATTGTTTGAGCTCAGCAGGAGTGCTACTGTAAGCTCAAGAAATGAAGTTATGACCAGACTAGAGGTCTGGTGAATGAAGGCTAATAATAATAATAACAATAACAACAACAATTTGCATTTATATAGCCCTGTAAGGTTTTCAAAGTGCTTTACATCCATTACCTCCCTAGAGAGTCACAACACCCCTCAGTGGGGTAGAAGAAGTAAATTTGCAGTCAGAGAGCTGAAATTTACATCCCAGCTATAACACTTACTACCTATGAGACAAGTCACTGAACCTCTCTAGATCTGATTCCTTATTTGTAAAACAAGGATATTGAAATAAGTGACCTTTAAGATTCCTTCTAGCTTGAATTCTATGATATGTTACAAATATTTGAAATAGAAGACAATAAAATGAGAATATATACATTGACTACAGCTATATATAAAACAATAGCAAGGAAATCTAAGAAGCGTACAGACAGAAAAAAGATTGGAGGGGACACAAAAAAAACCAAAACAATTATTATTTTGTTAAAATTTATAAAGCTGTTTTCTTTTCAAAAAAATTATAAATAGCATGGAATTTATCATTTATGCATTAATTTATTCTTTCATGTAGTTATTTGATTTTTTGATAAAGTTTACAATAAAAACAATTAAGATGACAACGACCTAATATATTGCCATCAACGGCAATCAATTCCAAAACTAGATTCAGATTCAATCCCTGAATAAAGTATGTAAAACTTCCTTCTCATCCAAATAATCCCTTGCATTTATACAATAGAAACATTTTAAAAAGCTTTTTTCACAACCATTATTCCATCAAAAGCATTAGTTGAGCATAAGCAAATGTACATACACTCACAATTGATGATTTACATTCATAATTTCCCCCCTGATTAAACCTATTCTCTGTACTTCCTATTCCACCATCTTATTTTAGGCCCCTACCAACTCTCTCCTCTTTTATCACTGAGTCACAGAAGCCCAGGAATGTCAAGTGATTTGACCCAGGTCACAGAGCAACTGGAACTAAAACTGAGGTCTCCTGATTCTTACTAAAAAGTTTTTTCCATGATGCCTTATAATTTCCCAAAAAAAAATTTCCTTTTCTTTTATCCAAAAATTATTTACTAAGATTCAATTACCTACAGAGTACTGTGTTTAGAGCCATAGTTACAATAGAGTATATAAATAGCATTAGACAAACGAAATGAAAACAGCATAAACAAAGTGCTACAGAAATTCAGAAGGTGGCTGACCTGATAAAGGCATAAATAAATGAAATCTGATCTGGGCCTCAACGAATGTGTAGGATCTCAACACAGAGAGCTAAAAGAATATTCTAAGGGCAGCTAGGTGGCACAGTGGATAGAGCACCAGCCCTGCAGGACGACCTGAGTTCAAATGTGACCTCAGACACTTGACATAGCTATGTGACCCTAGGCAAGGCACTTAACCCCAATTGCCTCACTCAAAAAAAAAAAATTCCAGATGGAAAGAATATAGTAAGGAAAGACAGGAAATGCAATGAAATTATATAGAGTAGTTTGGTCAGGGGAATAATTGGAGACATTAGAAAGGTATGGTAAGACCAAACTGTGCTGGGGCTTTGAATGCCAGGTTTTATATCCTAGGAAACTGGGTTCCACAAGAGCTTGAAAAGATCAAAATGGTTATAGAGGATGTCAATGGGATAGCAAAGTATAAAAGAGTGGAGACAGGAAAACTAGTTTGGAAGCTATTATCCAGGTATGTCATCTGAATTTAAACTGGGTGAGGGGGAGGAGCGGAAAGGAAAAATGTACACAATTTGTGATTGTTAGGATGGGGAGAAGGGGGGTTATAATCAGCAAAAAAGTGAAAAGGTAAGGTTTCAAGCCTGGATGACTGGGGAAAAGGCAGTGTTACACCCTCAACAAAAGTAAAGAAATTAGCAAAAAGAGCTTGGAAGGGGATAAGGAAAGGGCAGAAGTGATATGATGAATTTAAGTTTAATTATTTTAAGGTTAGTGGAAAATGTGGTAGAGCTGTCCCACAGACAGCTGAAAATCATAGGATTATAAACATAAAGTTGGAAGGGACCTTATATCATCTAATCCACCCTATTCACTTTATAGGCCTCTTCCTCCATTTCCAGTTTTCTTACACTTTAGTCCCCTCCATGTACTCCAAGATCCAGCAACACTGGCCTACTTCCTGTTTCTGGTACACAGGACCCTCCATCCCCCAACTCCATGCCTTTTCACTGGCTATCCCCAGCCTGGGAAGCTCTGTTTGCTCAACTTCAGGCTTCCTTCAAGGTTCAGCTCAACTCTCATTTTGTAGAACTAAATCTATAAAACTATGAGAACAGAAAAGCTTTAGAATGACCACCAGGAAGGATGAATGAGATAACTGAAAGCATTAGGATGCAACCTACATACTGATAACAAAATTGGTCATCTTAAACCACCACTTTAATAGACCACTCTTGCTTAATGACCTATTTAGACAAGAGTTTTTTTACCTATTCCCTTTGACAGTCTGATGGGGCTATGGTCTCCCTTCATGGAATAATGTTTCTTAAAAATTGAAGGAAATGCTAAATGTCAGTTAGAGCCTAGTGAAAATGAAGATATACACTTTTTTTTTCCATTCCAAGTTCTCTGACCCCCTGGAATCTATCCATGGGGATGGGGGTGGAGGTGAAATTGTGAATCCCTGGGGAAAACCTCTGACGTAAGACTCCCAGGAGCCCCGGCTAAAAGAATTCACACGTGTGTGCAGGGTGCACGGAGAGGCCACGCTAGAGTCTGGAACTCTTTACGCTTAAAAATTACTGAAGACGCCAAAGAGCTTTTGCTTATGCAGGTTAGGTCAACTGGTATTTTACTTGAAATTAAAATGTCTTAGAATTGTAAGAAGGGTTTTGACCTCGAAGACCTCCTGAAAGGGTCTCAGGGACCCCCAGAATCACACTCTGGGAACGGCTGGTCTACGGGCTTCTGTAAAACTAGGGGGTCTGGACTGCACTGACGTCTTAAATTCCTTCCAGTTCTAGATCTTTGAGGATCGAAAAGCTTTGGAACAGCTACTGTGAAGGATGAATAAAGAAAGGATGAAAGAAAGGGACAGTGATGAATGCCAAGCGACAGTGAAATTCCAGGGGAGGTCTAGAAAAGGCGGGACATGCTCCCGCCTCGGGTCTTGGACCCGCACTGGTCCAGATCTAGGGCTAACACAGGAGATGAAACGCAACAGGTCGGAGCAGGAGGTGTCCTCCCCGCCCCCTCAGGCGGCGGGGCCAATGGGAGGGCTGGAGACGGCGGGGCAGCCTGGGACTCGTAGTCTCAGCGAGTCCAAAGCAGGCCACGCGGAGGGGGCCGCCTCCTGACTGGCAGGCAGCTCTGGCTCAGCGGGCGACGATGACCGAGGGGGAGGAGGAGGGAGTGAGCACTTAGCTGGAAGCGGGCCCAGCAGGTTCGTCGCCCGCGACCCTCGCTCCTGCTCCCGCCGCTATACCGTACCTTCCGGCCGCTGCGGCAGAGGCGGCTGCTGCTACCGCCACGGGGCATCTCTCCGAGCGCCTCCGTCACGCCGGGGTTGGGAATGGGGGGAGGGCTGATACGGAAGGAGGGGAAAAGAGAGTTTGAGATGAACTCCCCGGAAGACCAAGAAGGAGAAGGCGGAGCACGAACCAGCCCAGCCACGCCGGTCCCTTTCTAGCTTGGCGCGCTGCGCCGCCTCCCTCTGATTGGTTCGCATGAGGGGAGGGGCGGAGCTTCTCTCCCAGTCAAGTCTCTCCATAGAGCTCTTTAGCGCCGGAGAGGAAAGGGGCGGACTTCGGACTGCGCATGCGCCAAGGTCACAGTCCAGGCCCGGGGCTCTTCTGTGGTGTTCCGGCGGGGTGCTTCCAAAGCAAGAAGGTCTTTACTCCAATTTGGAGGCAAAGGCGACCCTCTTCGTGAGAGCTTTATAGCCAGTTGGAAAGAGAGGCCAGATGGCTTCCACAGTCCTTAGCAACCATGGGAAACATGGGAAATTTTGGAAAAGTCGACGTGGCATTTTCCCCCTTGGCTTCTTGCCACCCACTCATTCATTCATATATTCAGTAAGCATTCTTTAAGCTACTACTGTGTATGAGGCACTGTGCTAAGCGCTGGGGATATAAAAAAGGGAAAATACCAATTGCCTGATAACCAAACAAAATTTGAGGAAAAACCTTAGTAGGGAATGTTGTTCAGTCACGACCTCTTTGTGACCCCATTTGGGGTTTTCTTTGCAAAGATACTGGAGTGGTTGGCCATTTCCTTCTCCGGCTCATTTTGCAGGTGAGGAAACTGAGGTAAATAGGGTTAAGTGACTTGCCTAGAGTCACACAGCTAGGAAGTAGTAGAGGTAGAGTCCTCCAGACTCTGACTCCTGGCTTTTTTCCACCTAGCTGTGCTGAGTAGAGAATGGGTTTTAACAAAAGGCTAATTAATGGCAAGTAAGGAATCCATCCATTTGTAATTTTGCAGAAACACTAATTGCCTGATAACCAGCTACCATTTGAGGAAAAACCTGAGTAGAGAATGGGGTAATTAAGGGCGAATAAGTAAGAAATCTGCCTAGCAGTAATTTCATTGATGTGCATAAATCCCTCCATAAATTTCTTGTGTTTGTGTTCTTCCATAAAACCTCCTTCGAGAGTGGACCCAATATTGCAGGCTTATCTCTGGTTCTTCAGAAGCTCAGAGGTACCAATGTAGCATTTTAGCTGTGTGTCTATTGTCTCTGTTGATACAGAGGATCATGAGATCACAGATTTAAGATGGAAGGAACATTAGAAGTAATCTAATCCAGCCTTATTTTACGGACAAGTAAACCGAGACACCAAGATGTGGAGTAATTTGCCCAGTGTCATACAATTATAAGTATCAGCGTCAAGATTTAAACCCAAATTCTCTGACTTCCAATGCAGGCCTCTTTTCTACCACACTAGGTTATTTCTACAACGTACCTCCTTTTTCAGTCACATATGTCTTGATGACGTGTCCTTTATGCCACTCTATCACAAGTCATAACTGGTAATATGTTGCAGTCTCTTTGCACTGACCATGTGACCAGTCATTGCCATTTGAGTCACTCAGCTTTTGTTTCTTTTGAGATTGTGATGTGCAGCCATGTATCATCACCGAGAGAATGTTAACTTTAATGAGGTGAGATATTGCTTCAGCACCCAGTTTAAAGTCATTAAAAATAAAATCCTCCAAAACACAATGATTTCTTCTGGTTCATTGTCTGTTTGAAGTGATCAACCAAAATATGCAAATTTATAAATTATCTGGCAACATGTCATAAACTGAGCAATATTAATTTATTTCTGTCCAGTTTATTTTTCCAGTATGGGTTGTTAAGCTGATCCCATTCAAATAATTATGGTGTCAACAGAGAGGCTTCATAAGATTCCAGAGTTTACAATTTTATGTAACTATGTCCACATGAGTTATCTAAATATATAGACAAGGATCATAGTTAGCAAGGGTAGATATTATCAGAAACCTGGCCCACTGCTGCAGAGCATTTGACAGCCAATGGCGGTGCCTATCTAGCCAGCACACTAGCTGAGGAGAAATAGACAGGCCTCTGTTCTTTCCTCCAGTCCTTGAGAGGAGTATTGGACTAGAATTATAGCTCCTATCCCCCTCAAATATCTCAGATTAGGAGTGCTAGTCTGAGTTAAGAAGGAAAGTTGCTTCACTTTTAAGGATGTTTAATCCTGAGGTTACCAAAGCTACTTACCAGCTTATTTCTTCCCACTAAATACTTGTTACATAAAAGATTATCACAAATAGTAAATAAATCCATTTATCTAATCAAAACAGCAAACTAAAATTGGAGATTTGCAGATTAGGTTATATAACTTGAATAAAATAGACAACTAGACATTTTCTCCAATCCTTAGAACTTGTCTAATCTCTCCAAAGTAGGACTCAAGAGCAAGTGATAAATCAGTTTCAATTGTCTCCAAGGTCGAGGACACCACCAACCCTAAAGAGGTAACAGTTTGATAAACTAACAGCAGAGAAGGCCAGTCCTTAAACTCTAAAACCCTAAGTAACACCACACACACACACACACACACACACACACACACACACACACATCTCTGGCAGGACTGCACAAGCCAACCCATGGGTGTGTAGTAGAACTCAGCTCCACCCTACTCCTTTTAGTGACTGGGAGTACCAAAAGGCAGAAGCTTGCTCTCAATCTGTGACAGCAACTCAGCAGTGCTACAATAGTTCAGCCTAAGAACTGAGGAAAAGATGCTGTGTGTGGCTGTGTGGCACTCCATTAAGCCCTAAGAAAAGAGCTCAGCATGCAGCTGAGGTGAGGTCTACCGTACTCTGCCCCATCCCAGAAGTCATTTGGGAAAGAAATTTATGGTGAATTGAATTGCCCAGCATAGGGGAGAAGGCTGAAGCAGCATAGGGAGTCAGAAAGGGAGTAATAGAGGAAAAGAAGAGGAAAAGAAGACTGAAATTATCAAAGATCTCTGGAGGAAGAAAACGAAATTAAATACCTTGAACATATGGAGATAAACCATAAGGGAATATATTAAAACAGTAGTGAATATGGCCTCAATATCACCTAAATTGGGGTCCAGACATCTATGAATAAATATTGAAAAACAAAGAGAAAAAAATCAGTACCTGATGGGGCAAAAAACCCTGTGAATTCCTTTTTTTTTTAAGGCAATTGGGGTTAAGTGACTTGCCCGGGGTCACACAGCTGGTAAGTATCAGTGTTTGGTCTGAGGCCAGATTTGAACTCAGATACTCCTGACTTCAGGGCCAGTGCTGTGTCTGCTGCGTCACCTAGCTGCCCCAACCCTAAGAGAGTATGGAACCACAGCAGAATGTTCCAAATGACTTAAAAGAGAAAAAAGAATTGTGAAAGCAGAATTATGTCCTGCTCAGCCAAAATAATTGGCAAAACAGAACTTGAATCCACAGTGCCAAGGCTAACCAAAGGCACAAAAGAGAGAATAACTGATGAAGAATGGAAATACACAGAAATAAAAGACAGTCTGGAAGAAGAGAAAAAAAATAATGTTAAATGAAAGCATAATCTCCATATTGATCTCAAAGATGGGATACATAGAGACAACTTAAATAATATAAATCTCCCAGAGCAGGACAACCTGAACACCATAATGCAAGAAGGAAAAAAAAAACGGGGCAAGCCTCGGCCTTGGAGTCAAGATTTCTATTTCTAAACAATTTCTATGCTATTGCCTTGTACATCTTACCCATTGGCCCTTCTTCTTTTGTGTCTCACTCTTAGAATAACAGTTCCTGCATGTGATAGAGAAGATATTGCCACATAGTAGGAAGAAAGATACTCTATAAAAGAAATGGGGAACTTAAAATGTGTTTACTCTCCAATTGATTGACTATTTACCCTATCTTAGGAGGAGAGGAATCAATTTCTGGGAGCATATGGCACCCTGAAGAATGGAATTGGGGAGCATGGATACTGGGAGGAGATTCCATGGCAAATGGGAGAAAAATGACCATGAGGAGGTCAAATTAACTGAACCATAAGGGATATAAGAAAATTCCTACTATGTGGCAATATCTTCTCTATCACATGCAGGAACTGTTATTCTAAGAGTGAGACACAAAAGAAGGGCCAATGGGTAAGATGTACAAGGTAATAGCATAGAAATGTTTAGAAATAGAAATCCAAAATAGGAACCTTAGAAACTTTATTTCCGTGAGGAATACAGAGACTAAAGAAGAACTAAGTATGTATAAGGGCTATGAATCATAGAATAAAAATCTAAAATAAGCAGAAAGGGAAGATAAATAATGACGAGAATGAGGGGAAGAAATTCTTTTTAGAAAAGGCACAGGAAATGACCATTTTAAAACAAATGAATGATATAAGTTGAAGCAAAGGATAGGAAGGGAGATTCTACTTGACTTAACTGAGAAGAAAATAAAGAAGGGAATAATTAAAAAACTAATTAAAAGAAAGAAAGAAAAAGGAACCAATAAAATAAGCAAAACTCAAAAACTAGGGAAAGAGGAAGATAAGCATATTAGCACATTGAAGTAAGAAGAGCCAAGTGAATGTTGAAAAATTATAAATAATAAACATGGCTCAAAAGAAAAGATATACACTCCCAGTCGCCTTGCAGAGGTCCTCAAATGTTATACATTGCACAAATTTCCAGACTTTATTGATATTCTGATCATTTGTGCTGACTTTTTCCCTCTTTTTCTTTTTTCTTGCTTTTGTTTTAAAAAATATTTGTTATAGGATATAGCTCTCTAAATGGAGGAGGGAAAGGAATACTGGGGAAAATTACAGTGATTTTTTAAAAAGACATTAATTAAAACATTTTTTAAAAAAATTATATGAACTGTCTTGAGTAAATTAATATATCAGTTCAACCCAGAAGAGGACCTGATTTCACCAGAAGAGATATACATACAAGTGATCACTGGGGAGGCATGTTCTTGAAAATCAGGCACATATTGAGGAGCCATCTTTCCCTGAATATCTATAGCTTCTCTCCACTTGTGTCTCTCCCAATGAGTGTTTCTAGAACCACATGTCTCTTTCCTAAGCTCTGCCCCCACTTCTCTAAGTCACATAGTTATACATCATCCTGATCAACCTTCTCTCCATCAATAAGGTATCATGTCTCCTTAT